TCCTCTTAATCGCCGTTATCATTTCCCTAGCCGCAAACGGGACAATATAACTCTTGTTCTACACGTGGTTTTTGTCAGGTATTTTATCGCTAATTATCAGAATGGGTGGTCTTCTTAACACGGCCTCAAAAAAGAAACATCTCCAAAATTTCAGTCAGTCTGTCGCCTCGAAGCAAGAAGAAAAAACACTTCTGGGTCCCCATTCATTTTCCTTCGGTACATATTTCTGATAACATAATTTTATTATCGCAGGCCAAAGATGTCCTGCGGCAAGAAAATCGGTCAGTGTAGTTACTTCGTGTGTGTCGCGATTAATTTTTCCATATCTACCCAAAGTCCTGTAGTTACACCTGTGTTTTGTCAATTATCAAAATTAACGTTTTCAATTGGACTTTTCTTTGGCGAACATTTCTTGATAACATAATTCTATTATCGCAGGCATAAAGATGTTCTGCGGCAAGAAAATCGGTCAGTGTAGTTACTTCGTGTGTGTCGCGATTAATTTTTCCATATCTACCCAAAGTCCCTGTTTTTCGTCACTTATCGAAATAACATTTTCACTTGAGTTCTTCTTTGGCCAGCCGACCAGCCGTTCGTTTACGTACCCCTAGATAACACAGCCGTTATCAAAACACATCTGATTCTTTCTTTCTTTCCCTTTCTTTTTACTCAGAATTTCCCTGTCATTGTAATGACACCCTTTCGCCATCTGTTACTTATCAATATATTCATTGTCTCTTAGCCGTGTGTGTGTCTGCTTATCACCCACGATTCGTCTCGCCTTTCTTTCTGCCTTCTTTTCTTTCTTTTCCTTTTCTGCCTCGTAAATGGTGCCATATATATATATATGTAATTTTAATAACCTTTTCGACATGTTTATGACTACGATGGTTCCGTTCTTTGTACTACATTGCCCGGACAATTATCTTCATATTTCTTGCCATCTTCACGACGTTTCCAACGTTTTACGCTCCGGCCTTCTTCAGGCGACTGGAATTTCGAACCGAACACTTTATTTTGTCCAGCGAGGTAGATTGTTTTTGTTCCGCATCCGAATATCTCAGTATTGGTTATCTCCTTTTTTTTACTCAATTATCTAAGTTTTTGTTCACCTCTACTGTAACCAGATATTGAACTCACAACTCGTTGTGTCAAGTCACTGGATTCCACCAACGCTTTTATCCACTGGAAATCAGTATATCCTTGAGGATATTAGTATAAAAGGAAGATTAACGATACTGAGATATCCTGAAGAGGCATGGAACGTAGAATTAGAAAAATCTACCCCGGTTGTCGAAATAAAGGGTTCGTTCGAAATTCAATCACCTAAAGAAGGCCAGAGCGTACAAAGGTCGAAACGTCGTGAATATGGTAACAAAGATCTAAATAGTGTAAATAATTACAATTACTCACCCCATAAAGATAAACAAATACGATGGTTTTATTTAAATGTAAGATATTTATTAGGATCTATAACTTTTATAAATCTTAACAAATGTCTTAGATTTAACCAGATACATCCTATTGACAAACAAGACGAAACGACTATTACAATTATAATCCGGCGGGATATAAAGTTATAGATTCTAACAAATTAAATTCGACCTTGTGCCACATCTGACCGCGTGGGACGGTTGTCATATATCCTCCTATTGGAGATTCGTCTACAGATGTGCTGTTTAAACTCTTTGTCTCCGGGCAGAGAGGATTCCCAGACAAGGCTTTGCCAAAGGGCAAAGTCTCGTTTCGGGAAACAGCAACAAGACCCCGCTTTATATGGGGTCTACGGGGAATTTCTGACCGAGCCTACGGGCACAGATACGCCACATTAAATTCGGCCTTGTGCCACATCTGATTGCGTGGGGTGGTTTGTAGATATCCTGCAGTTGGAGATTCATTGTGGAATTCACTTGACTTACTTGTAGCAGTACTTCTTCTACGCGCCGCTGGCGAATCTCATATGTGTTGTTCTTGTCCTAAGTGTTATCATTCATTACAAACCTTCGTTTGATTATTCTCTTCAGTAACCTTCGCTAGGTTACAACAGTACTCTTCTGTAGAAATACATTTCTATTGCCTCAAGTTTTCTCCTCGTCCGTATGGAGATTGTCGATCATTCATTGTCGTAGAGGGGGAGGGATATCGGTAAGCAATCCAGCACTCTTTTCATTGTTTCCAACATAGATTTTGTTTTCTCTTTTTCAACACCTTGCTTAGCTTTTGGAGTTCCTCTTTCGCTAGTCCAATGCGTCGTCGGATTTCAGAGTCACATGCTCTGTCCAAACACTCCCAGTCATTTAAACTTCTGCACTTGCTTGGTGTTGTCATCTCCGATTCATTAGTCGTATCGGGCGCTTTTTCTCTTGAAGACAGACATATTTACCTATGTAAAAAAAAAAGAAAGGTATTTAATTTTATTTTCCATTTTTGACAGAGAACGAAATAGTTTACGCGCCATTTTTGTCGGATGACATATTTTCCACCCTGCTGTCTCTTGCCCCACACACTGACGCTACTCTATCATTATTCCTATGGCAAATGTTCAGGTGAGGTCTATTTTTTTAGTGCCACCGATTCGGACCTTTATAGCCAAGATTCGCCTTGCTACATCTACAGGGTTGAATCGCCCTCATTTCCTACGCATTCCCTTGGTAAGAAGGCTGTTCAAATTAGGCCGTTTCTTCCCAAGAACTGCTATTTTGTAAAATCGCGTAGATACTTCACCGAACACTATAATCTGAATCTTTTCAAGTGTAGGGCCAACTGTTATCCATCCTCTATATCCTTATAGTTTTCATTTTTAAATTCGCCTTCTTGCGTTCATATCTTATACCTCATTTAGTAACTCTCTACCTTGGGTGGATCTTGAGCCTTATACTGATTAGTAAGGATTACGTTGGCCACCAAATAAAGCCAGTTATCATAGGGGGGGGCGGTGGAGTAATGGATTTCGGCTCGGATTGAGGAAACAGAGAGCCGAGGTCGAATTACGTGCTAATACCTTTGAGAAAGGTATGAATCCATGTCTTTGCTCCTCTCCCCAGCTACGACATAATCTTACTTATTATAAAACGCAGATTGTGTGTGTGTGTGTGTGTGTGTGTGTGTGTGTGTGTGTGTGTGTCTGTAACGTTTATATATTGGATCGGATTTCCTACATTTTTCAAACGATTTCAACAAAACTTCACAGGACTACATAAAATTACCTTGTGGTGGTTCTAACAGCGCCAAAAATGGGAAAAATACAATTGCTTTTGCACAAAATCAATTTGAAAACACGATTAAGAGGCATCGTGAGAATAAAAGGGGGACAACTCACATCGGGTTTTTTTGTGTGTGTGTTCCTTTATATATGGGATCGAATTTCCTACATTTTTCAGCCGATAAAACAAAAATTGACTTTTTTTTGGCATGTAGTGTTTCTTATTCTTTTGCACACTTTTTTCTTTATTTTTAATATTCAGAATGCTTTAAAAATTCCATTTACAAGACAATTGTTTGTAATAAAATTACAATCGGTAGAGACTCATAACGATTGAAAACAATGTTTTTGTTTGAGTTTGGGTTTGACCAATTCGTAAAAAAACAACAAAAAAAGAAAACTAATTAAGACATGCGTGTCCGTCAACCTTAAGCAATAATCTTTGTCAATTTTATTTTTCAGTCTTTATGATGGTGGATACTTGATCTATCTCTTACTGTTATATCCCCGGGCAAAGCCGGGCTCTACTGCTAGTCTGTTCCATAACCTTTGCTGGCAACCTGTCACGGAGTAGGATAAACTCCAACTATGGGTAAATAGTAGGGCAGTCTCTGATTTGTAGCCACTGCTTGTTTTACGGTTTTTCAACCTTTTTTAAGGTTAATTAAAACCGAAGCATATTTTAGAATTTTAATAATTTTGGGGGTGAATAATAATTTTCTGATAAATGTATTCTAATTTAGCTCATAGCTGAGAAAAGAAGGACAACTCTAAATTCAAATCCAGAATCGGATTCCTGAAAGACGGATGTCGTATTCAAGTCTGACAACTGCTGCGACGAGGCCGATGACATGATGTATTGGTCTAAGCCTTTTCCATGGACAACAACGACCTACATGGGTAACTGCCGACCTCTCACAAAAAAAAAATCCTGATCCGGCTTTCAACCTGGAGAAAGCATAACTCTTCGAGCGCATATCCATAGGCTATCGAGATACATACATATACATACCACTTTGCAGTGCACATTTGCATATATTATATATGCCTTTATATACAAATAGGCGTTTTTGTTGTTTTATTTTACTTTTTGTTTTTTTGTTTTATTTTTGTATATTTGGGTAGGCGCGAATGTTCGAAATTATTTTATAAAGATCTTATAGTTATTTTTTTTAATTCCACTTGTGCTCTTTCAACTCGACACAAATTTACTTGATTTATAAAATGCATTCGATTTGTGTGCATGTGTATATATAAAACTATTCACACCTTGTTCTCCATTTATGTTACTCTAAATGCATACGCATATGTGCGCGTCAAGGCTCATTTGTATGTGTGAAGCACTGAAAAGACGTGCTCACTTATTTGTTTGTTTGTTTTTGTCCTTTTTTCCGTTTTTTTTTTTTGTCCTTTTTTTTACATCTATTTGTCTATGTGCGCATATCTACATGTATCGGTACCGGGTTGAAAAGCAAAGAAAAACATTTGTGATGGATAGGGAGAAAAAAAGCGAAAAAAAAAAAATGATCCGGCCCAAAAGAGTCGGGGAAAAGATGAACGGAGCTAATTGACAAAACAACAAGCAAGAATCAAGAAAGGAAGGAAAGAAGGAAGGAAGGAAGTTGAACAGGAAAAAAAAAATATGTGTTCACCGCCAACCCAACCCACAAATAAAAATCTCTGAAAAATTTAGAAGAACATGTTCGTCGTAAAACTCGAGTAAATGAAGTCGCCAACAAGAAATGATGGAAAAATTAAAGAGTAAGTAAGAAAAAAAAAATAGGGAATGAAGATCTGGTTAAGTGAATAGAAAATAAAAAAAAAAAAAACACTGACAGAAAGAAAATATGAAAAAAAGGGCAAAGAAAAGAAACAGAAAACGTATCAAAGAAAGAAAGAAAAGGAAGAAGAAAGATGGAACAATGAAAAATATAAAAAAGGAGGAAAGAATACAAAAAAAAAGGAAAAAAGAAATGAAAAAGAAAGAAAAGTACAAAGTAAAGCGAGAAGGAAAAGAAAAGAAGAAAAAAGACAAAATAAAGAAAAGAACTGAAAAAGAAAGAAAAATAAAAAAAAATAGAGAAAATGAGGAAAGGAAATAAAAGAACAAAAAAGAAGTGAATAAGAAATGAAATCAGGAAGGAAAAGAAAAGAAAAATATAAAATAGAGAAAAGGAGAAACAAAAGATAAATCAAATAAAGAAGAAAGCAAAGCAGGAAGGAAAAAGAAAGAGAAATGAGAAACAGAGAAAGAAAACAAAAGAAGTAAAAAAAAAAAAGAAAGAGAAGTAGAAATGAAAGCAGGGGGAAAAGAAAGAAAAATGAAAAATAGACAAAAGGAGGAAAAGAAACAAAAGAAAAAAGAAAAGAGATGTGAAGATAAAAAGAAGCAAGACGGAATAAGTAAGAAAAATGAAATATAGTGAAAAGGAGGAGAGAAGAAAAAAGAAGGAATAAAGAATTGAAGAAGAAAGAGAAGTAGAAAGAAAAGCGGGAATGAAGAAGAAAGAAAAATACCAGAGGAAAGAATGAAGGAAATAAGAAAGAAAACAGTTACGAAATCATCTAGGTAGAAGAAAGGATGTAGTTAGATGGAAGAATGAAGGAAAAAATGGAATGAAGAAAAAGAAAGAAAAATAATGTAGGAAGAAAATAAAGCAGGAAAGATGGAGGCAGGAAAAGGAAAGCAAAAACTTAGAGAAGAGGAAAGAAAGACAAAAGTATGAAAAAAAGAACGGATATCGGAAAACACGTAGGAAGCTGAGAGATAAAAAGAAAAAAGAGAAAGAAATGAGAGGAAGTAAAGCAGGTATGAGGAAGAAAGAAAGAAAGAAAGAGAACACTAGATGGAAAAGAGAATGAGAAAGAAAGAGGGTTAGAGTAAAAAAAAGAAAGAAGCTGTAAATTTCGAAACAATAGTAGAGAAAAGAAAGAAAGAAAGAAAGAAAGAAAGAAATAAAGAGAACACTAGAGCGAAAAGAGAATGAGAAAGAAAGAAAGTAGAAAAAGAAAGAAGCCGTCAAACAGCAGAGAAAAGAAAGAAAGAAAGGAAGAAAGAAAAATGGGTAAAAAAAGAAAGAAGCTGTCAATTTCAAAACGACAGCAGAGAAAAGAAAAGAAAGAAAGGAAAAAGAAAGAGAAACTAGAGGGAAAAGAGAATGAGAAAGAAAGAGTTGTAGAAAGAAAAAAGAAAGAAGCTGTCAAGACAGTAGAGAAAAGAAAAGAAAGAAAGAAAGAAAAAAAGAAAAAAAAGAAAGAAAGACAGAGAACATAAGAGCGAAAAGAGAATGAGAAAGAAAGATGAAATAGAAAGAAGAAAGAAGGTCAATTTCTGAAACGACAGTAGAAAAGAAAGAAAGAAAGAAAGAAAGAAAGAAAAAAAAAGAAAGAAAGAAAAGAAGAGAAAATAAGAGCGAAAAGAGAATGAGAAAGAAAGAAGGTAGAGTAGAAAGAAGAAAGAAGCTGTCAATTTCAGAAACGACAGTAGAGAAAAAGAAAGAAAGAAAGAAAGAAAGAAAGAAAAAAGAAAAAAGAAAAGAAAGAAAGAAAGACAGAGAACATAAGAGCGAAAAGAGAATGAGAAAGAAAGATGGGTAGAGAAAAGAAGAAAGAAGCTGTCAATTTCAAGAAACGACAGTAGAGGAAAGAAAAAAAGAAAGAAAGAAAGAAAGAAAAAGAAAAGAAGAAAAGAAAGACAGAGAACATAAGAGCGAAAAAAGAAATGAGAAAGAAAGATGGGTAGAGAAAGAAAGAAAAGAATGAAACGAAGAGAAAAAAGAAAGAAAGAAAGAAAAAAAAGAAAGAAAAAAAAGAAAGAAAGAAAGAAAGAAAGAAAGAAAAAGAAAGAAAGAAAGACAGAGAAACATAAGAGCGAAAAAGAAAAAAAAAAGAAGTAGAAAAAGAAGAAAGAAGCTTAGAGAAAAGAAAGAAAGAAAGAAAGAAAGAAAGAAAAAAGAAAGAAAGAAAGACAGAGAACATAAGAGCGAAAAGAGAATGAGAAAGAAAGATGGGTAGAGTAGAAAGAAGAAAGAAGCAATTTCTGAAACGACAGTAGAGAAAGAAAGAAAGAAAGAAAAGAAAGAAAGAAAGAAAGAAAGAAAAAGAAAGAAAGAAAGACAGAGAACATAAGAGCGAAAAGAGAATGAGAAAGAAAGATGGGTAGAGAGAAAGAAGAAAGAAGCTGTCAATTTCTGAAACGACAGTAGAAAAAAGAAAGAAAGAAAGAAAGAAAGAAAGAAAAAAGAAAGAAAGAAAGACAGAGAACATAAGAGCGAAAAGAGAATGAGAAAGAAAGATGGGTAGAGTAGAAAGAAGAAAGAAGCTGTCAATTTCGAAACGACAGTAGAGAAAAGAAAGAAAGAAAGAAAGAAAGAAAGAAAAAAGAAAGAAAGAAAGAAAGACAGAGAACATAAGAGCGAAAAGAGAATGAGAAAGAAAGATGGGTAGAGTAGAAAGAAGAAAGAAGCTGTCAATTTCGAAACGACAGTAGAGAAAAGAAAGAAAGAAAAAGAAAGAAAGATAGAAAGAAAGAAAAAGAAAGAAAGAAAGAAAAAGAAAGAAAAGAGAGAAAAGAGAACATAAGAGCGAAAAGAGAATGAGAAAGAAAGATGGGTAGAGTAGAAAAAGAAAGAAGCTGTCAATTTCGAAACGACAGTAGAGAAAAGAAAAGAAAAGAAAGAAAGAAAAGAAAGAAAAAAAAGAAAGAAAGAAAAGAAAGAAAAGAAAAAAAGAAAGAAAAAGAAAGACAGAGAACATAAGAGCGAAAAAGAATGAGAAAGAGATGGGTAGAGTAGAAAGAAGAAAGAAGCTGTCAATTTCGAAACGACAGTAGAGAAAAAAAAGAAAGAAAGAAAGAAAGAAAAGAAAAGAAAGAAAAAGACAGAGAAATATAAGAGCGAAAAGAGAATGAGAAAAGAAAGATGGGGTAGAGTAGAAAGAAGAAAGAAGCTGTCAATTTCGAAACGACAGTAGAGAAAAGAAAGAAAGAAAAAAGAAAGAAAGAAAGAAAGAAAGAAAAAAAAAGAAAGAAAGAAAGACAGAGAACATAAGAGCGAAAAGAGAATGAGAAAGAAAGATGGGTAGAGTAGAAAAAGAAAGAAGCTGTCACTTTCGAAACGACAGTAGAAAAAGAAAGAAAGAAAAAAGAAAGAAAGAAAAAGAAAGAAAGAAAGAAAGACAGAGAACATAAGAAAAAAGAGAATGAGAAAAAAGATGGGTAAGAAAAGAAGAAAGAAAATTTCTGAAACGACAGTAGAGAAAATAAAGAAAGAAAGAAAAGAAAGAAAGAAAAAAAAAGAAAGAAAGAAAGACAGAGAACATAAGAGCGAAAAGAGAATGAGAAAGAAAGAAGAAAGAAGAAAGAAGCTGTCAATTTCGAAACGACAGTAGAGAAAAGAAAGAAAGAAAAGAAAGAAAGAAAAAGAAAGAAAAAAAGAAAGAAAAGAAAGACAGAGAAACATAAGAAAAAGAGAATGAGAAAAAAGATGGGTAGAAAAAGAAGAAAGAAGCTGCCATTTCGAAACGACAGTAGAGAAAAGAAAGAAAGAAAGAAAGAAAGAAAGAAAAAAGAAAGAAAGAAAGAAAGACAGAGAACATAAGAGCGAAAAGAGAATGAGAAAGAAAGATGGGTAGAGTAGAAAGAAGAAAGAAGCTGTCCATTTCGAAACGACAGTAGAGAAAAGAAAGAAAGAAAGAAAGAAAGAAAGAAAGAAAGGAAAAATGCGAAAAATGAAAGAAGAAAAGAGAAGAGAGGAAGACAGAAAAGTAAAAAGAAAAAGGAAGAAAAAAAGGAAAATGAAAAGAAATGAAAAAGAAAGAAAACGAAACGATACGAGGAAAAAAGAAAAAGGAAGAAAGAACAGATAATAAAAATATCTGTCTATATTTCTGTTTTGTAATTATTGACACTATTTACCTTGTTCGGACTATTGTCCTCGTCTACTTCTCTTTCTTCTTCGCTTCTTTTTTTCTTTCTTTTGTATTCAGTCCTCCTTTTCGTTATATTTATTTTCTTTCTTTTCCTTCTTCTTTTCCTTTCTGTTTTTATCGTTTTTCTTATTTCCTCGTTTTATTTATTTTTCATTTTCTTCTTCCTTCCGGCTTTCTTTTCTTCTGCACTTCTTTTTTCTTCTTTTGACTTCATTCCTGATTTTCAAAATATTTCATTTTTCTTTCTTGTTCCTTTCTTCCTTCCTTTTTTCTTGATTTCCTTTTTCCTTCTTTTGTATTCTCTCTTTTTTTTCTCAATTTTTGCTTTTTTTTTTCTTCCTCATTAGCTTCTTCTGTCTTCTTTTCTTCTTCACTTCTTTTTACTTCTTTTGACTTCATTTTCAAAATTTTTCATTTTTCTTTCTTCTTCTTCTTCCTGCTTTACTATCTTCCTCACTTCCTTTTTCTTCATTCCCCTTTTTCTCTATTTTCATTTTCTTCTTTCTTCTTGCTTTCTTTTCTTCTTCATTCTTTGTTCGTCTTTTGTCGACTTTTTTCTTTCTTCTTCTTTCCTGCTTTTTTCTTCTTCCCTTCTTTTTTCTTCTTTTGTCTCCTTTTCTCTCTTTTCCATTTTTCTTCTTTGCCAAAAGAATGAATACAACAGTCCGAAAATGTAAAAAGTGTAAATAAGAATAAAAAAAAAGAAGGAAAAATTGAAGGAATCTGATGAACCGAATGCAGGAAGATTTGAATGATGAAAATACTGAAGAAAGTTAGAAACAGATAGATATAAGAGAAAATGCTATAAAAATTATAAAAATTTAAATTGGAATCATTTGAAAATAAGATGCAAGTTATTCGGTAAAAAAAAAAAGTAAAAATGGAAATTGGTGTTTTAAAAAAATTACGAATGTGAAACCTGAAAAAATAAAAGCAAGTAAAAAGAGAAAGAGAAAAAAAAAAAAACAAAAAACAAGAGAGGACACTTCGAAGAAGAACCGAATGGAGATGAAGAATCCAAAATTTGAATAAAAAGAAGAAAATATAAAGGAAAGAAATTTCCTAAAACAAATTTGCATGAAAGAGAAAAAGTCATTTAAATAATTCGATTGGAACGCAAGAAAACAAGGAAAGAAAATGGCGTTGATTTGAAGAAAACAAATTGATAGCGAATCGAGCGGGTGATTGAAAGATGCGGTGTTTGAACAAAATGAAGAAAAGATGTCAGAAACATTATAATGAAAAAAGGAAAGAAACGTTATAATGAAAATGAACAGACATTTTAAAAGAAACGTTACAATGAAAGAAACGTTATAATGAAAAAGAACAGAAAGATTGATAGAAACGTTATGATAAAAGAAACGCTATAATAAAAACAAGCAGTAATGTGAAAGAAATGCTATAATGAAAGAAACGCTATAATGAAAATGAACAGACATCTTTAAATAGCCGTTACAATGAAAAACGTTCTAATGAAAATGAACAGAAATCTTAAAAGAAAAGTTGCAATGAAAGAAACGTTATAATGAAAATGAACAGAAATCTTGAAAGAAACGTTACAATGAAGAAATGTTACAATGAAAGAAAAGTTATAATGAAAACAGAGGAAGACAGCGTTTGAAAGAAACGTTATAATGAAAAAGAACAGAAAGGTTGAAGGAAACGTTATAATGAAAGAATCGTTGTAATAAATACGAACAGAAATGTGAAAGAAATGCTATAATAAAAGAAACGCTATAATGAAAACGAACAGAAGTCTTTAAAGAGCCGTTACAATGAACAAAACATTATAATGAAAATGAACAAAAATCTTTAAAGAAACGTTACAATGAAAAAATGTTACAACGAAAGAAACGTTATAATGAAAAAGAAGACAAAGTTTGAAAAAAACGTTATAATGAAAGAAATGTCATAATGTAAAAGAACAAAAATGTTGAAAGTAGCGTTACTATAAAAGAAACGTTATAATGAAAACCAAGAAGACAAAGATTGAAAGAAACGTTATAATGAAAGAAATGTTATAATGAAAGAAACGTGATAATGAAAAAGAAGAACAGTAAGGTTGAAAAGAACATTATAATTAGCAGTATAAAAAAGAAAAATAAGAAGGATGAAATCAACATTAAAATGAAAGAAACGCTATAATGAAAAAGAGGAATAGAATGGTTGAAATCAACGTTATAATGGTAGAAAGTTTTAATGAAACAGATTAGAAAAGTTTGAAGAAAGGATTTAATGAAGGAAAGGCTACAATGAAAGAAGAATAAAAGGAAGGAAAGTAAAGTTATAAGGAAACGTTAACATAAAGGAAACGTAAACGTAAAAAATCAAAAAAAATCGGAAGGCCGAAAGAAACGTTATAATGAACGAAACGCTATAACGAAACAAAAAAATAGAAAAATGCAAGAAACGTTAGAATGAGAGAAATGTTATAATAAAAAATAAAAGGATGAAAGAAAAAAGATAAATGAACGAAAGGCCGTAATGGATAAAGAATAGAAGATTTGTTATAATGAAACGCTAAAATAAACAGCCAAAAATGAAGAAAGAACAATAGAAAAGGTGGAAGAAAAGTTTTAATGAAGCATTCTAATGAAAGAAACGTTATAATGAAAAGAGAATAAAAAGGTGGAAAAGAAATATTGTAAGACAAGTAGAGACAAAACAGAGAGGAAGGAATATATATATATATATATATATATATATATATATATATATATATATATATATATATAAAGAAGGACAAATCTTAGTGGAAGGACGAAAACAAAGAAAAAATAATAAAAAAAAAAACGAGAAACTAAATCAAATTAGCGATCCGTCAAAAGTTGTGACGAAAATGAAACTATATGTCAAGCAGCTATATGATTAGGACAAATACAGAAGCCAAAAAAAGCAACAACAAAAAAATACGAAGAATTTTTCAAATGAGAAAATGATGCTGACGTTAATGAGTTCCAGTCAGAGACAAAAAAAAAACGTTCTACAGAAATAAGAAATATTAAGCCCTTGATACTACAAAGACATTATTATAATGGTTGATAAAGAAAGAGGCAAAATCATGCAAAAAAAAAAAAAGGAAGAAAAAACAGCGTCGGAAACAATAGAGGAAGTGATGAAAATATTAGATACGAAAATAACAACAGAGGTAGTAGCTCTGTTTATTTTTTATGGAATTAGACACAACGTTGATGAATTGAGACGGCAATGAAGTTGCGCAGACAGAGAAAACTCAAAAGAAATATAAAAGTAATTTATTATTTATCAACCAACGAATAGAACAAAAGAAAGTCATCCTAGTTAGCAAGAACGTGAGGGCATCGAGCATACGAATAAAAAACGTCAGTGCACTTAAAAAGAATGCTGTTCAGGGCTTCTAGTCATTCTAATGAAAGGGTAAGTGTCATGACTCCTCTGCTATAGGCGTCAGTTATTTAACGACACATATTTCGCTGGATGATTTGCCATTTACAGCAGAGAGCTCCAACTGTACCCGCTACTATTAGTATTCTATAGTTTTATTTTACTTTATACCAGTTTTAATCTCAACATAGGATATACAAATGAAATAGCGTTGATAGCAGAAAGCGAGAAGAAAGGACTAATCATCAATTGTAAGATAACAGAATATATGTTTGTCAGCAATGTAATCGATCCTGATTTGGCATCTCCACTTCAGTCGCTTTCTCACCAACGTGGTGTGTCTTCTCTTAGTCTTTTCTACAAATATTTTCATGGCAACTCCTCGGACGAGCCTTTTTCCCTGGTGCCCTGATTACATGAATTTAAATGTGCTACTTGATTGGCAACTAGGTCCCACCCATTTACTGTTGAAATAGTTAAATGCAACCGCCACTTCCTCAAATAGTTTCTTTCCTCACACTTCCCGCCTGTGGAACTCCCTTCCAGTTTCTTGCTTCCCTGATAACTACAATCTTCAAAAATTTAAATGCAACGTCAATCGCCATATTCTATCGTCTTGAATCCCGTTCATCTTTTTGTCCTTTCCTCAATCCTCTCTATGATCAGCCTTTTCTTTCAATTTCACTGCCTGTAAGCCTCGACGTACTAGTGGCATTCCTGCTTTGCCTAGTGGGGAGGGGATTAAAAAATTAAACAGCTCAGGATGCGAACGACGAATAGAAGATACCAAAATCAAGAAAATGCGAAAATGTAACCATCTGAGAAGTATTTTAAAAATATTTCGGAAAATATGGTACCGAAATCCGAAGTTGCATTGGAATAGCGAAATATGTCTTTCCAAAGCTAAGCAAAGTATTAAGAAACATGAAAATTATTTTAAAAACGAAGAAAAGAGCGGTGAACTGCTACTTAATATCAGCCTTCCTATATTGCCGTGTATGGTGGACAATCACCTAGAAGACGTGACTATTGGCAACAGAAACGTGGTTCAGCAGAAGGATGCTGAGAATGGTATGCACTGAACATGTGAGCAATGAGAAAATGGAAACGAAAAGGACGCCTATACTTAGAATCAGAAAATGACAGTTGACAAGTTTAAATCGACAAGTGACCACAAATGCTCACTTCGAGATCGTCGGCGTATTATTCATTTATTGGTCTTAAAAAGCATCGAACCTACAAAATGTACATTTATACGTCCAGCAGATGCAAAGTGTCCATAAAGGATAGATTCTTCCTTCACGACAACGAATAGCCGCACATATCAAGTGGCCATTGAAAAACTAAAGAGTTTGAAAAAGTAATACCTTCTTCGTTTTCAGTCTTTTCTATTTTTATTTTTATTTTTTGCAGGTTATAGAGCATCCTGGGATATTAAAATGGCTACGCATGATTCCCAGCAACGAGTATAACTATTGAGTTTTTCTATTCCAGTGAAAGATCAATAATTCAAACTCAGAGGAAATACCGGCAACATTTTAATGCCAGAATATCTCATAGCGATAACATGATTTGGAACCTAATCGCCCGGTTTTTGAAAGAACTGGATCAGTCGACGATCTTCCGGGAAGAGGTCCTAAGCACATTGATGCAGTGGTGGAAGCTGTACGGCAGAGTGTCCTTGAGGATCCATCAGTTTATCCATCATCGCTCTGCTCAAATAGGCATTGCCAGAACAACGCTTCAGAAATTTCTGAAATTTGATCTAAAATTGTTTCCTTACAAGATTCAAATGGTCCAAACTTTACTAGACCAAATTACTTATGTGTTTGTAAAAGTTACTTTTGTTTTATATTATTCAGTCTTTCAATGACTCCCCTCTATAACACAATAAAATAAATTAAAGTGATTAAGTCTGTTCTACTCCATCCGCCATATTCACCTTACCTTAGACGAGGTGTCAACAACCCCAAGCGCCGGGACCAATTCCGGCTCGCGAAGGGTTTTGCCCTTCTGCCAACTTAATCGTATTAAGGAATTTGCATTTTTTTTATTGTGTTAGTTATCCTCTTATACCTGCAGTTAAATAATCTAGCATTAACTTCGTTGTTTTCTTTAAACCTCCAGACCAAGGCAAGCCTTCTGGACGGTGCAGTCTGAGGTCGATCAATTTATTATAGTACATTTCATATCATGGCCCGTCTTCGAGACACTGCATATCTGGCCCGCTCTCTCCAAAATGATGCCAACCGCTGCCTTAGAACAACCGATTATTACAATTTCGATCACTGCAAAACAATTATAGGGATAAAAAATTTTGAAGGAAAACAAGAATTAAGAGTTCATCCAAAAGTTATTTTTTCCATCAAAACCTCAAAGATTTTACTCAAAAAAACGGTCGAATATCTGCCAGATAAGTGGCATTGCAAATTATGATGATATTCAGTCACCCCCCACGAGAGTGTCATGTGGCACAAGGCCTTTTTAACGTGGGCATTCCTGAGCCATTAGGCTCGGCCAAAAAAATAGCCCATTTGAACCCGTATAAACGGGTTCAGGGTTGGTTTTACCCCCGAAGAAGACTCCGCCCTTCGGCGTAGCCTCCTTCGGGTTCCTCCCGCCCGTAGGAAGAGAGTTGAACCGAACAGTCGCTCAAGAGTTGAACGACTGACTGATTCAAATAATGATGGATCTATAACTGAATAAAAATATAAAAACACTTTATCTTTTTATGAATAAATTGATATTATTTATCTAACATCTACACGAAGGTAGATTGTAACTGTTGGGGCGCACCCACCTTCTGACTGATAATGGACTTATCCCTCTACGATATAAGTCAGTGCTAGAGAGAGTAGGAGGTGTAGTGTGAAGGATCAGGTTACCATTACATACCGTTGGACTGTAGACTTTTGCTATTGTTACTTACTAACCGGCGTTCCTTATTACTAATCACTCTATTGTTAATTACCTCTTACAAATATACCAGTATTTATCCCTACAACTGTGTTTGTCTTTATTCAAATACACACACGCGGGGACACTCCCAACAACACAATAGTAACACAAGATCTTTATTTTAATTTTCGTGTGTCTATACGTGTACATACGGATCAAGGGCAAAAATACTCACGACCACTGTCACGCTGGTGTTGATATGACACTAACTCTGCCTCTCTTAGTGTGATGAGGAAGCTTCTGCCACGGCGTTGGAATCCCTGGGACCATTGTAAAACGAGGAGAAAAGATACAAAGCATTGACCCAGACCAGAAGAATAAAATTCTCAAACAAAAACAGAAATTATTCATGACTCAGCCTAATAGTAATACTATAGCGAGCCCATGATTCAAATTACATATTGGAGATTCCAAAATCAAACAGGTATCATAATTTAGATATCTGGGAAGTGTATTAACAAAAAGAAGGAAACGGCGACACCAAAATCAGAATGCGCATTAGGCTGAAGAAAGTTGACTTCCAAAAGCTGAGCAACGTATTAAGAAACATGAAAATATCATTAGAAACAAAGAAAAGAGTACTGCAATATTATGCAATGTTAGGTTTTGGCAGTGAATGCTGGACAATGTTCTCACAGATGAAGAAACTTCAAGCAACATCAATGTGGTTTTACAGAATAATGAGAATACCATAGACAGAACATGTGTGCAACGATGAAGTTCTAGAGACAATGGCAAATAAAAAGGACACTTCTACTTAACATCAGGAAGAGACAGTTGAAATTTCTGGGGCACATAATGAGGAAAGAAAGCTTGGAAAATTTGATACTCACAGGACAGATTGAAGGTAAAGGGGCCAGAGAAAACAACGCAAAATTTATGCAGAGAATTTGAGGGAATAGGTGGCACCCCCCGCAAAAAAAAACAGAAGTTATTGAGAGCGACAAAGGAGAGGAAATTTTGAGAGCCATAATCATCAACGTAAGAACACAGTACAAAGGGAAAAAAACAGTGAAGAAGTTTGATAAGTTTATCTTCTGACTTTAGCTGTAAAATAGTCAATATAAATAGACGTAATCAATTCTTTGCGAGCGAACATCTCTCTCAGACTAGATTGTTGACCTTCGCAATTCTGTTGGCGCTCAGTCGATAGACCTTTAATGGTTTCCTGGACATTCATTATTGCTTTTATTGTTTTGTTTTTTTACGGTTTATCAACCTTTTGCAGATTATTTAATACCAGCACATATTTATAGATTATAAGAATGTTTTGAGATAATAATTATTTACAGATATGAGTTCCACTAATTAACCCATAACTGGGGAGAAGAGGTGGATTCATACCTTTTTAAAGAGTATTTGCGTGTTAGGGAATATGAGAAAACCGATTGGAATTGAAACTCTGTTCTCTGATTTCCAAATCCAAGCCATTACCCTTTGCACCTACCGCACATCCAAGCTTCCAGCACCTTGTATTTCCAAGTAGTCATCCATCGAATTTGCTTAAAGTTGGTGTCATTTATTGGATTGATACACCTTCATTAAATAACGAGCCTCCAAGAGTAAGCTATGGATTATTTTCAAGTACCCCTTCACCTTTTCAAATATATCTAGTTCAAAGTTGATAGAAATCTCTTTTGAATTTAAAACAAAAAAAACGTTAGTAAATAGTCTCTGCGCACCGTAAAATATCACTCTGTTGTTTTAGCAGGGTGTTTTGAATTTATACCAGGTTATTGTCTGTGTTTAATTTCTGCGTTTTGATCTTGTATTTTACAAGAACATAACGATTACTTTCCTTCCAAAGTTTGAATTTCTTAATTCTATCGCATATTTTGTGCTGACATTGTTTCATTCACCTCCTAGCAATCGTTGGAATTTCAAAGCATGTTATAAGATTTTTATTTTTATTTTTATTTTTATTTCCCTTGTTTATTTGTGTACGTATTTATTTATTTTTAAGTTTCCTACATGTTCTTTGATTTTTTCGTACTTTCCCCTAATCAAAAGCAAAGTCATGAATAGTTTAAACTTTGAACGTTGATTTCGAATGAACACCAAACGATTTTTAAAACCCTTTTTCTCAAAATGAATTGCCGCTTACTTGAATATATTTGTTCCTTTCCTAAACCAATGTTTTAAACTGTTCAGGGAATGTGTATATTCATATCCAATTTTACGAAGTTTTAAGTAATCCATTTGCTTATCGACTGGTCATAATTTCGGAAAACAAGTGATGTGATGGGATTCTTGAATAATTTTACTGTTTGATATTACCTTTATTTTTATTAGATGTTGTCGTCGTTATCGGCATCCACTGCATACGAGCCTAGGGATTGCCACCCACTCTCCCTATTCCCCATTCTCTCCTCATATAAAAATCAAGCTATTGTTATTGTCGGCACCTTTTCACATTTGAGCATCACGATCGTCATCCTCACCCCCTATACCATTTCTGACCCCTGGTGGCAGTGGTAGAGATGATTGTGAATCAGAGATTTTGACAAGGCTAATCACATAAATTTGCGCCACGGAGAAGCCCACACACTTGGCCAGAAGCGCATCCCTCTTAGCTCAAAGGGGACTGAGACACGCAAGATCTAGCAAACCTGGTTCGTTCGGGTTGTTAGATGCATGTTCAATCAAGGTTCTTATGTCCACACTGTATCTCTCTCTCATATATGTACACACACATCCACACATGAGTGAAGTAAGTAAACAAAACACTAAACAAGACAATAATATTGATATGAAGACGGATTGAAATCACACAGTAAATTTGATTCTTTTTTCAGCGACCAATTTCCATTCTAAATGTTATTTTCTCTGGGTTTTCTGAGCTTCCTGGCTTTAAAAAGCATGTAAAAAAAGCTTAAAAAATAAAGAGATACTTGAAAACAATGCTCGTCTTAATCGGTACCTGCTTGCATCCAATCATTGGGATCGCCATCATCTCTCCTTATTCCCTTTCTCCCCCTTCTCTGGTCGTGGTGGCCGAGATGTCTGTGAAGGCCCAGCCTAAATCTTCAGAGTTGAAGGGCGGTAGAAAGCGAAGTCAAAGAGAGTTTGACGAGGCCATCCTCGTGAATTTGATTTTGCGGGACAACTCTGCGCGACAGAGAAGCCCACACCCTGACCAGAAGCGCCTCCCTCGCAGCTCAAGTGGGATTGAGACAAGCAAGATTTGGCAAAACCTGGTTGATATCGAACTGCCGGATGCTTGGTCTGTCATATATTAATGTATGTTATTTGGTTGAGTTTATGTCATGTCAATCCTTGTTGAATTATTTAATAATGTATTTTGTATGGGGCACTCAGTGACGAGCAATTCACACTCAGTAGTAATGGTTAACTAGACTAGTTTCATTATTTAAAAATATATTAAAATACTTAAAAGCAACAAAGAAAGAGAAAAAAAGCATGAATTTTGGACAAATATGGTTCCAATGTACAATCATTGGTTTAATTGGTAGGATAGCCTTGGGTGACACCTTGTTTGCCTTCAAAGTCACCGCGGAAATGATAATTGGAAATCAATCTATTGTCTTTGAAAAGGAATCTTGTCAATTCACTAAGACAGAAAAATGAGCCTATGATCATCTATATCCTGAAGGACGTTACATAAAAATAACTCGGTGTCGATACCCGCTCGCATCCAAACATCGTGACCGTCATCGATTCTCCTTCCCTCTCTCCACTGGTGTGGTGCAGATGACAGTGAAGGCCCAGCCTACTTCAGAAGAGTAATCAAAGGAGTCTCACGAGGCCATTCGCGTGTATTTGATTTTGGTTACATCGGGCTGTCGGATGCTTGTTTTCTGTCAAGATCCACTTGGTTACGCAAGTCTCACTTGCGCTGTGCCCTCTTACGCCGGTTTGTCCGTTGAGATAGTGTAAATCTTTGCCTATTCTTTCGCCTTTGGGGTCTTCGGTACTCTCTCGTATCCAAGCATTGGGATAGGCAGCCACATTCCCTTTCTCCTCTTCTCTGGTGGTGGTGGCCGAGATGTCTGTGAAGGCCCAGCCTAACCCTGTAGAGTTGAAGGGCGGTAGAAAGCGAAGTCAAAGACAGTTTGACGAGGCCATCCGCGTGAATTTCATTTTGGTGGACAACTCTGCACGACGGAGAAGCCCACACCCTTGACCAGAAGCGCCTCCCTCGCAGCTCAAGTGGAATTGAGACAGGTAAGATCTGGCAAACCTGGTTGCATTGGGCTGTCGGATGCTTGGTTTCTGTCAAGATCCGTGTTGGTTACGCAAGCTCAACTTCCGCTGTGCCCTCTTCCGCCGTTTCGTCCGTTGAGATCGTGTACATCTTTGCCTATTCTTTCGCCTTTGGGGTCTTCGGGGGTTGGTCACGACCAGTCTGAGGTTTCCTCTTCGACCATACGGCCATGGGTAGCTCTACAGACAGCTTAGATGAAGTATGGTAAATTAGTATTAATATGGACTAGTGTTACTTTCCTCTTAATTTCATCGCAACAATCATACTGCGGCTGTTAGTAAACAGTCGAGCCAGAAATTAAAATTAAAATTTTATCTTTCACCAAACTTTTTATTTATATATTAGGAAACGCCATCACACAACGGGTAGATATATTTAAAAAAAAAAAAAAAAACAAAAAAATAGACGAAACTGACCTTTCATTTGATCAAACGAACCAAAAGAAACGTACAATCTTCAAACTGAGCCAATGTTTTTTTTTTTATTAAGATATCGGGTCCTTTGTTAGTTTTACACAAATAAGATCTGTTTTGTGCTTGGTTATATAAAAGTATAAATGCGCATGCGCGTTTGTGTAAAAGAAAGGTTAAAACAGGTGATAAATGCTGGCTGTGTATTAAAGATATTCACTAGAAAATATGCGAATTTAAGAAAAAATATCGTAATATCAGTAGAGGAAAGCGATATGTAAATTTTTATATAACAAGAAAATTTTAGAGAAATACGTGACAAAGTGAAAAATGTTTTCGTGTGACTCGTTTCGCACTTTATGACCTCTTCGGTCTAAAATGATGGTGACATTGATACAACTACACATTCGCACAAAGGAGAGGGGCTGCTGAAATTTATGATTCATTTTTTTTTTAATTTCAAATTTCAGCATCGTTCTTTTGCATATTTAGTCGTACTAACATCATTTTAGTCCTAAAGGACGAAAAGCCTCACGCGAAAGCATTACCACCCCTTGTCATCGACCGTGATCGCGAAATCCCGTGACCCACTAGGGTCTTAGAGGCATCACTTGTGCTGCACTCGCAGTAGAAGTGATGTTTTGGGAGGTAAGATAGCCTGAAGAATCCCAACTCCGATTCCTCAATCCGATCCGTTCTCCATTACTCCAACGTGCTTCCATAGATTGCCAAAAATATCAGTATAGCAATACATTTGCTTCTTCTGCTAAATAATTACTCCATAAGGATAGGACTTTTTGTGTGTGCATATGTGTTTATATATATATATATATATGTGTGTGTGTGTGTGTGTGTGTGTGTGTGTGTGTGTGTGTGTGTGTGTGCTACCAAGCAACATTTCTTGTCAAATCCCTCACCCTTATAGGCCTTCTTTCTCTGTATATTGAAAATTCAAAACGACTAAGCTAACACCATAAACACTCATATACGTTTCTGCAAAAAAAAAAAAAAATGCAGATAAGGTTCCGCTATCGTCCGGTTCATTCTCCTCCCCTGTTTTTTGAACATAAGTAGATGTTCATTCCTTGTTTCTTTTTTAGGATTGGCTTTCTGGTTCCCTCTAACGACTTTTCCTTCTAGTTCACTCCCAGTTTTCCCTTGCGTCTTAGGGACATTATCGCCTTGCTTGGGAGGAATTAATTAAAAGAAAAATAAGCAAGTAAACGAATGTATTTGAACGGTTTAGTAACATGCAGTAATATATTTAAATTTAATGTAATGGGATGGATGATTTGTGTCAGGGATATCAACTTCTCAACATGGAAGGCACCAAGAAGAAGACTTCGATCCCGGTGTTCCGTAATTTTCAATCTGTTTCTTTGTTTGGAAAGAAACTAGACAAGTAAGCTGAAATGTTTTTTAAGGCCTTATTTGGTTCTAATGAAAAGCATGTCTTATTTTTTCACTATTTCACTTTTTTTCACTTCCTCATCGACCGCCCCCTTTTCTTCTCACCGCCATCCTCCGAATCCCAGGTCTATTCTTTAAAATGATATGAATAATCACTGAGCAGACCCTGAACTATCTCCGGTCCTGATTCAAAGTTGTGCTCTGAAGAATGTTCCTCCCTTGGGCGTCTTTTACGACCTAAGTATACACCCAGTCATCAAATGGAATTCATATAAACATTTAAGATGTTGGAAAAAAAATCGTCGCCGACTCATTCAACCATCCCGGAAAGTACTTGACAATTCCTACCATGCTCTATTTTTTACAGGAACCAGATCTGACCCCAAAATGGTTTATTACTACCATATTTGATCTGGAACTGCCCGTCCTGACTTTCAAGCAGAGTTCAAAATCGTTTGCGCGGCCTTGTAGAGGATAAATTATTTTCCATCCAAGTGCCTCTTTTTCACGGATGCTACGCTGCAAGCCTATTTCTACTTCCACGGCAAATGTTCTGACGAGCCCCTTCTTAGTTCTACCAGTTCAGACTTTTCCAGCAAAGACCCGAATTGTTACGCCCACAGGAATGAATTACGCAATTTCTCCGTATCCCATTGATAAGTAAAAAGTTACAGTCAGAGTGCTTGAACCCAAGAACCGTAACTTTTTTTTGAACAAGCTCCCCGCGTAGATGCTTCCCCGAAAACAACAATCTTAACATCTTCAAGTTTAGGGTCAATCGTTATCTCTACTCCATATTCGCATAATCATAATTTATCTTCTGAGGTTCATATCACACCTGCCATTCGTTAATCCTCTACCTTGAGTAGTTCTCGCGCCTTGTATTGTGCGAACATTATTAAAAAATGCAATGACTGAGAGGTCTAAACGTTTTGTTAATAATCCACGGCTAGTCGGCGCCATCGTGGAATTTAGAGATTTTCTAAGCGTAGCTTAAATGTGGCACAAGGCCGAAAGTATGGGGCACCCAATGAGGATCGAACTCACTTCTCCCTCGTAATTGTTCTAGCTAGACAAGCTTTCTAACCATTACACCGCCTCGAGGTGCCCATAAGGATTTTCTAAGCTTAGCTTCGATGTGGCACAAGGCCGAAATTAGGAGGCAACTAGTGAGGATCGAACTTATTTTTCAGCCGTAACTGATTTAGCAAGACAAGCTTGCTAACCATTACACCACGCCGAGGTGCCCAAAATGATTTTCTAAGTGTAACTTAGATGTGGCACAAGGCCAAAAAAGAGGGAGCCCTCAGTAACGATCGAACTCACTATACAGTTGTAACTGATCAAGCAAGACAAGGGTACTAACCATTACACCACCTCGAAGTGCTCCGTCGGGGAATTATATGCGCAGTAGCTTTGTAAATCAATGGCAGAAGATTCGTTTTGAAAGTAAAATGTGTTTTTTTTTTTTTAAATAAACATTTTTATGAGCAAGATATCTAAGATAAATATTTTATATATGAAAATTTAAATAGATTCTTAAAATAAACTAATAAAAATATCACCATTGCCAACTTTCTTTTACTCTCAAGCTTTGATGTAAATGCTACTTTCAAGAGAGTTGTCTTTATTTGAACTTAAGGTTGTCAGCAAACAGAAGAGCCTAGCCGCGAATTACAAATTTAAGATGCCTAAATCAAGCAAATACAAAACCTAAAATATCTGTTTTAACAGATGTCAGAAAATACAACATCGAAATCCAATGGCGTATTGGAATAGCGAAAGATGTTTCTAAAAGCTAAACAAATTATTAAAAAAAACCAAAAAAAAACCTTTAGAAACGAAGAAAAGAGTACTTAACTGTTATGTAATATCGGTCCTCCTCCTACACACACACACACACACACATACATATATATATATATATATATATATATATATTTAATGAAAAACATTGGATTTACCAATTCGGTTTAACAAGTTCTTCATAACTTATATATATATATATATATATATATTAATTGCATTTGTACCAAGCAAGGCAGTAAGGCCACTGAAACACAAGGGGTTACTGGGTGTGGAATAGTTAGAAACTGAAACACTGCAAAGGAACGAGAACAAAACAAGAGTAATCAGGAGGACAGTGAGTCTATGCAGCATAGCAAAGAGTTCATCCGAACAGTTAACATGAAAGTATTAATGGAAAAAGCACAGGGAGGCAATATTACAACGGTTGGAAAGAAACGGAAGCTGATACGCCAGAACAGGGTCAGTAATATACCGGAACAGGGCCAATAATAAGCAGGAACAGGGTCAATTTGATCTTTATCCTATCATTCTCTCGGTTTCCAATCCATATTCGATATTTAATACCAAT